CCCTACACACCCCCACCCCCTCCTACCCCGGCAGAAACACATTCCAGACTCTTTATTCCTGCCATCACCATGTCATTCAGTGACTCCGCCCCCCCTTAGGCCGTGCTCAAGTTTAGGCATAACTCAGTGTGGAGGGGGCAGAGCCTGTGAGGTCAGAGCCCACGGTAGACTTCATGACTCCCACCAGTCTGCAGCACTAAGACCCTGTAGTCCAGAACTGTCCTCCCACTCCCACCAAACCCCATGGAGAAAATCAGAGATTGATAAACAGCAGCGCTGTGTTCTCATTGGACAGGAGCAGATTACAGAGTGGACCTGGAGGCTGAGCTCTGTGTGTGTGTGTGTGTGTGTGTGTGTGTGTGTATTCACTGAGACCACCAACAAAGCTGCAGACGCTCCGCCCACTATCACAACAGGACGTCATGAACACACACACACACACACACACCAAGATAAGGCCTTGGTGGTTCTGGTCCAGTTCTGGTCCAGTTCTGGTCCAGTTCTGGTTCACCTGGACCCGACCTGGTCATGTGACCCACACCACATGGGCCGTGTACTAGGACGTGGTCCAGTCAAAGCAGCGCGGCGACCATGTTTTTGGCCCACGCTCCAACAGTTCCTTCAAACCCCAGGGGGGCGGAGACACAGACAGAGGGGATTCTGGGATTTTCAGGAAGTGAGTCATTGCCTCCAGGGGGCAGAGGAGGGGGGTGGAGACAATTCAGGACTTGTAGATGCATGATGGGTAATTTTAGATGAGAGGCAGAAGAAGGAGCTTTTGTTCTTCTTCTACTGAAGGTGATGAGTCTGTGACCAGGCCCGGGTCAAAGGTCAACACAGGAAAAGGGTTCAACCCTAAGGTCACACCTGGTCCAGGTTTACTCAGGACTAGTTCTGGTCCAGGTTTACTCAGGACTAGTTCTGGTCCAGCCCTAAAACCAGGTGTGAGTCGGTGCTGCGTTCACTGTCTGCAGGAGAACGGAAGTGTGGGCTGTCAGTGGAGGCCGCCCCCTGCAGGAAGGAGACAGAAACACACGCTCCTGGGGTTTCAGAGTAAAAGGATCAGGTCGTGTGTGTGTGTGTGTGTGTGTGTGAATGCACCAGGTGCCTTTAAATCAACACAAAGAAACAGAATGTTTGTTTTCTTTACGTGTTGACGAGTGAACAAAGGCTGAGCAGCAGGGGGCGGTGTTGACACAAGTAAACACAGCTGCACAGCAGTCGTCAGCTGGTCATGTGACCATGTGTGAAGCGATCAAAGATGGACGCAAATGTTTTCACCAAATACAGTTGTTCTGGTTTGGGAATGTGGAACTCTTCAAACTGAAGCTAACTGCTGAAGCTAACTGCTGAATGCTAACTGCTGAAGCTAACTGCTGAAGCTAACTGCTGAATGCTAACTGCTGAATGCTAACAGCGACTGTTAGCACATGTTTTGTGGTCTACTGGTTGTTCTTCAATCTGGACCAGAACCCACTGAGGGCTGCCTACTGCCCCCTACTGGGCATCATCTGATATGATGACAGAAAAACTCCCAGCATGCTTTTCTATCACTCCCTTCTTCTGACATGATATCTTGTGCTGCTGGCTCACCCTTCTATCTACAAGTTACCACCCCCTCCCCCTCCCCCCTAC